TATTGTACTTGGACAGGGAACATTCTCTGAAAATTTCAACCCATCAGCTTTCCTGGTCCCGGCGTTGGTCATTTCCCCTTCAAAAATTTCCATGGGCCGCATGTGGTAACCATGAAAGCCCGAGGGCTGAATTTGATAAATTTAAGTTGTGCATGAGCTGGAAACATTCTCTGAAAATTTCGGCTCTCCAGCTTTCTTGGTTTCCCAGTTGGCCATTTTCCGCCAAAAACTTTCATAGGGTCGAAAGTAACAACCACACATGTCCGAGGACTGAATTTGATAAATTTAAGTTGTAGATGAGCCGGGGACATTCGCTGAAAGTTTCAGCTTTCCAGTTTCCCTGGTTTTTCAGTTAGTCATTCTCCCGCCAAAAATTTTCATTGGCCATACGTGGGAACCACGCACTATTTTTTTTTTTTTGAGACGCTGAATTTAATAATTTTACGTTCTATATGGGCGAGGAAGATAACCTCAAGACTTCAGCTTTCTAGCTTTTCTGGTTCCCGAGTTAGTGATTTTCCCGTCAGAAATTTCACGCGCTCATACTCGGAGCCTAGACATGCGTGAGGACTGGTATCGCGGTCTTGGGGTGACACTTGGCCACGGAACGCATTCGAAAAATTTTGGCGCTGGAGCTTGCTTGGGTGCCGAGTTGAAATACCCGGACAGACACACATATGCGCATATACTTCGTCACATTATGCATTTTCGCATTTGCATATATACAAAAACGCATAAAAATAGCAGTGTAAAAGTCAAAAATTCGCTTTTGACGGAGCCCCTTTTTTGCAGATACCAATCGGATGGAAGTTGAACCACTCGTCTTAACATCTGGAAGTGACGTGCTAGATCGTTGCACCATCGGCTTTTATGCTTCATGCTTGGCGTAGGATTACTTTTACTGTGGATTAGCTTTTCAAAGTAGAACACGCCTTCTGTCTGCCTTCATAGGTAATACGTATCTTTTCATACTTAATAGTTTTCCTTTAGGCAGTATGTGGATTAGTGGTGGTTCTTGCCGATTTCTTTGTAAAAGCGAAAGCAGTCGGAAGTTTCCAAAGTAGTAGCCAATACCAACTGCAACTAATCGCTAGCAAGGCTGTCGACGGCTTTCTTTTTCAAGCGTTTCTAAAAACAAATTGGGGTGGGTCTGGCTCCTTGCGCTTTCCAAGAGGCGGACTAATGATAAGGCGGGCAAGGAAGACTGGGGTACTAATTTAGCCCTCAGGGGATCGTAACTGCTGTGTCCGTTGCGACACAAGTCGAGTTCGATTTCATTAGTACAACGGAAATACCAACACTTGCAGCTAAAGAGCTCCGAGTCTAGGTTTCTTCGGTTAGTGCTGACCGGGCTTTCACGGTCCACAGCGCCTTCGCGTTCCAGGCTCCTCCGAGCTACTGTCGAAGCTGCTCCTTGGACGTTGCAGGTCTTCCTCTATCGGCCGCACAGCTCTGTCAATAACCAACATACTGGCCTAAACTTCTCCAATCGCCCTACGCTTCGAATTCGGGTTCTGCGCTGGAACGTTCTCGAGAGGAGGGCAAGACCATTTGCTCACAACAATGACAAAGGTGAAAGGAGGTGGACATTGGTTGGAAAAGTAGGAATTGGGAACAGAGGCGGGGATTACAGCCGGAGATTGCATGGGCCTGTGATATTTTCAGTAAGAAACTTAATGCTCAGCTAAAGCTGGGAAGCCTGCGCGCGACAGTTGTTTTGTGCACGACTTTGAATTTCGCAGCTTGCACCCAAATGCACAAGCAAATGCATATTGCATGGCCGAGCCGAGTTTTAGTAATTGCTGGTAGAACAGTCATCAGTGATTTCATAGAAACTATGTAAAGTAAGAGCCTAATTTAAGAGTAGACGGGGGGTGTTGACACATTATTTCACTAATCTGTTGATTGGATGGAAAGAGTACTTTTCCCCGGCGTCGACATCTGTAGCCTAAGTAGCACCACGTTGTTTTTAAATGTGTCACTGTGCAAGATGCCCCCTTGTCAGACATTTTCTACCTTGGCTTTAAATAAATTCTTTATATTGTCTTTCGCTCATATTACATGATAACTTCCAAGTAGACCCACTCGACACATTGCCCACCTATCCTGTTCTCTTTTGCTACTGTATGAGAATCATTCACCTATCTATTCTAGTCGCCAAAAGACGAATAATCGTGTGAGAGCAGATGATTTATGACTTTGTTTTT